GGGGGCCTGGCCCTAGCTCAGGCCTTTAAGTGGCTGCTTCCACAAAGCTGTCAGCCTCAGGTTGCTGGAGTTCGAACTTCACACCTCTCCAGCTGGCCAAAAGTGCCCTGAAGGCATTCGAGGAACAAAAAAAAAAAAAAAATAAATAAAAATAAAAATAAAAGAGTTCCACCCTAAAATGGGCTCCATCATGCAGGCTGCATCACTTGTTTGGCCCTCTACTTATTTTTGAAGACTCCTTTGCATGTAATTCATTTATATTTAGATTGTTTAATAGGCACAGACATAAAGATAGTTTTGACCTGAAAGATCAATTCTGAAGTTCTCTTAATTACATCCTGAAAAATATGAGGGGCTGGGAAGACTGCTCAGTAGAATAAGCGTTTCCCTGGCAAGTACAAAGGCCTGAGTTCAATCCCCAGTTCCGCAAAAAAAAGTATGAGTCTGCTGAAATGTGTAAGAGGATCAAATATCTAACAAGTTGGCAATTGTGACTTTACCTAAATCAAATCAAAATTAAATCAGATGTTAGAAGCCCTGCATTTCTTGTCAACTGAATCAACTCACCTCAAAAAAATCAAATATTAGCTCCAGGTTATCTGGCTCCATCGTCTGTATGCTGTACTCAGTCCATCGATCAGGCTGTAAGCCATACCCACACTCCGGCTGTGAGTGCCTGCACTTGAACTCATTGTCACTTATCAAGGCTATCTCCAAGGTGTTGGACATTTTATGAAGAACAGTGGGAGACACCCTATCATCATCATCTTCCTCTGGACCCTCTAGTGTAAGCTTTACCCTACATGATAAGAAAAAACATGATGAAACACAAAAGTACCATAAAAGAAAAACTTAATAGAAACCTTACTTTGCAAATTTTTAAATGTCCCCTGAATATGTTCAAATAACAAAATCTATTCCACAAAGACTATATGTACTACAGCTTAAAGCACTAGATGTGTTTTAATTGCATCTGTATCTGTAAGATATTCATATAAGATAAATGACTGTTACATCTAATGGTGTTTTAGTTCATTAAGATTTTTCTATTATCCCAACTAAGACGATTAATGTCTCAGCCTTTAAATATCAGTAAAAACTCTTTTGAGAGGTCTCACAAATGTATTTAAAACAAGAACATCAGGACATACACCACAACATGCTTTTTGAATGAAATAAAACAAAACTTTATTTCAAGTCTTAACAGCCTCACAACAACAAAAAACACGTTACCCAAATCACAGTGCCACAGCAATTAGTCTACTCGATTTACTTCCACAGAACACTTGTCAACTTAATTCAGGAACGTTTCTTGCACCAATTTAATAGCATATAAGCATTTTAAATGTTATGAATAGAGTACAAAGTTACAGAAATTTTTCATTCTAGATTTAAATGGATTCTGACCTCAAATATAAATATATTTACATTTCTGGAACTGTATTAGCATGGCTTGCTCTTTGTAAAATCCTGTATAGCCATTATCCTGAGGCCTCTGTAAGGGTCATCTATAAAGATTACTTCATTAATTAATACTGTTCTGTATTCACATTATAAATTTATAAGTGGCTCAAAATCATTCTCAGAATGAAACTCCGAGAACTCCAGATAATGGATCCTTTTTTTTTTTTGATAATGGATACTTTTAGTGAGCCTGAGGAAGAATACGAAGACTGCAAACAGAAATTAGCAAGAAGAAAGCCCTTTTTAAAAGCTTGAAAAAAAAAATTTGAATGGAAGGATCAATTAATGAACTTAAGTTAGTTTCATTCATGTTAAAAGATTTTCTTCAAGTAACAATAAATGTTATAGTCTCTCAAAAAGTTATCACCACTGCTTTCCACTTTGTAGGAGAGTCAGTGAAAAAGAGAAATATGTGTTTCAAACATGGTAGTAGTAATGGGATGGAAGTTTACTACTGTATTTAAGACACATACCCAGTTGCCAAATTGTTAAAAGTAGTCATCTCCTAGCAGACAAATTTCCAGGCTAGCTATGCTTACATGAATTGGGGGGTTGGGGGAGATAGTCAGAACAAACACTAAATTTCAGCTACCTAAAATTATTTCAATGGGAACTAAGTAATTTAATTTATAGGGTCCCAACAAACAAAATATTTCAACATAAGCCCAAGTAACTTAATAATATATAAACACTCAAAATATCTGTACCAACAAGAATGATCTAAGATTCAGCATTCAGGGGGCTGGAGAGATGGCTCAGTGGTCTAAAGCACTTACTTGGAACAAGCTTGGCAAAGCACAGGGACCCCGGTTCAATCCCCCAGCACCACATGCCAGCCAGCCCTGCCACCAGGTGGCCTGAGCTGGCCACACACACACACACACACACACACACTAAATGTAAAATAAATAAATAAAAGTAAATTATAAGATTCAGCATTCACCTGCACTGTAGTCAGATCCCTAATCATTATCAACTTTTTTTAATTCCAAGGAGGAAAATTCCAATAAGCCAAACCACCAAAGCTTTATCTTCACTTCAAGGTCTTACTCTAGAACAGGAGACTGGTATAACACAATTCACAACTTTTTTTTTGTGGCTGGCTCAGCCCACCCTGGGGGTGGGGTTGGCAAGGCATGTGGTACCTGGGATCAATAACCACAGTCCCTGAACTCTGCTTACATTTGCCTAAGCAGGTGCTTTAGACCACTGAGCTGTCTCACTGGCCCCACAACTTTAAATGTAACATGTAAAGCTGGGCATGGTGCCACATGCTTATAAGCCCTGCACTTGGGAGGCTGAGGTAGTAAGACTACTTCCATGAGTTCAAGGGCAGCCTGCGCTACCTACATAGTGGAAAATACAATGCAAAATGTAAATAAACCATGAATTTTTGTTTTGTTTTCTGAGACATTGGCTCCTATGTAGACCAGGCTGGCCTTAAACTTGAAAAGTATCACAGGTTGGCCTCAAACCCAGTTTTCCTTCCTCACCTTCCAAAAGATTAAGATTACAGGTTTGCCACCATACCTGACTTAACATTTGATAATGACTGCTAACTACCTTTAAGAATTTGTAGCTGAGTATGGTGGCTGAGGCTGTAATACCAGCACTTGGTAGGAGGACCACTGAGGCCAGCTTGGTCTACACAACGAGATCAAAGCCAACCTAGGCTACAAAGTGAGACTCAGTTTCAAAAAACAAAACAGAATTTGTGGGTTACATAGTGAATTCAAGGTCAGCCTGAACTACACAGTGAGAACCTGTCTCAAAAAGCAAAACAAAAATGTAAGATGAAAGGCTCTTGCAGATCAAACACATAGTCCAATTATCTTGGTGTTTCAGAAGCAACAGCAAAGGGACAAAGCACACACATTTAAACAATTTGCTTTCAGAACAGCAACACAAAGGGTTAGCAGGTGCCGCCCACCTACTTCCTCATCTGTCACTGGCATGTGAGCACTCTGATATTCAGGCAGTCATACTAAAACACTTCTGGACTTCGAGACTGGAAATCACTGATTTTTTAGGAAGATAAAAGCCTTGTGACCAATGTCTTCAATTACTGAAAATGAATCTTTCAACTCAGGCCTCACATTCTGTCAGAAAAGCCTGTGTTACAGATCAAGACTCAGGGCTCTCCGTACCAAAGTCACTTTTCAAATGACAGGACTTCCCAGGAAAGAAGCCAGGCTGCTCAGAGGCATGTAAGATGACACACAGAAAAATTAGGTCACTACTGAACCGTTCACACAAAGCTTTACATTTACCTCTACAATGGATGTAGGTTCACAAAATACAAATGTAGAACAGCTGTAATTATTACCTTTCTTCATAATTTTTTTTCCATTTTTAAGCCACAGGAAACTTTAAAACACCAAAGGGTATTCACAACAATAATTTTTCTTTCTTTATGCCATTCTTCCCTCATTTAGCAAAGCTGTTTCTCTTCTATCAATTTAAAAAGTTTAGGGCTGGGGAGTGGAATAAGTGCTTCCCTGGCAAACGCAAGGGCCTGAGTTCAATCCCTGGTTCCGCCAAAAAAAAAATAATAATAATAATAAAAAATAAATAAATAAATAAAAAATAAAAAGTTTATAAGGGTTAAGAACGTGGCTCAGTCCAAAGTCCTTGAGTTCAGACCCCACTACTGGACAAAGAAAATTTCAGTT